TAAATAATTTGTTAACTTTTTTTTCAACTAAATTCATAGGATAAGAATTTTTACTTTTTATTTTATATAGAAAAATTTAATTTAGTTGAAAATTATTTTATAATAAATTAATCAGTTTAAAAGTTTTTGAAAGTTATCCGAACAAGTCAAGTTTTTTGTCACTTTGGTAGTCAAGCGTAGGATTAGCAATTTAACAAGTTTTAACAAATTGCTATTATCGTTGGTTTTATTTTTAAGTAATTTTACGGGGGAGAATTAGCATAAAGACTAGCGTGCCTTATGTGTAAAAGTGTAAGAATTTTGAGAAACTCACGGGTGAGATGTTTGGCGCGTACGAAACGCGTGCAGAGAGTCAAAGTTTTTTGAGCCAGGCAGACAGTGCCGATTCGGATTTGTTAGTTTAACAAGGACTTTTTTTTTTTTCAAATAGTTGAAACATAGGCATGCTATTCATATCTGACCAGCTGGATGTTGTGTAATAAATAGGTATAGAGTAATTGGTTTGTAGTATTAGTATAGTTTTTTTTTTATTTTTATATTTTAACGTCGTGTATTTTCGTGTTTTTTTTTTTGTAAGATGATGCAATAATGAATTAGTTTTAATAATTTTGATTATGATTATTAGTTTAATAATTTGATTTTTGATAATGTTTCTTTTTTTTAAATATTTTCTCTCTTTCTTTTGTTATTATTACGCGTACTAATGTTGGCCTCAGTTCTGCCGGGTCACCATTGTCTGGTGCTCTATTCGCGGCTTTATCCGACCGATCCTACTAATGTAGGATTGGGATATGATTTCTTTGCATAACGATCACAACGGCTATCGCGACCAGTCCAGTTATACATCGTATGCGGCACGGTAACGAAAGGACTAGCCAACCTTCGTTAATTAGAGCAGATTGCAGGCACAAAGTGTCTTTTAGAAGTCATATCTCTGCGGGCGCAGGGACACTGGTAAGGGTTTCACTCGGTCTTGCCAAGTACGGACCTGTACCCGACGGTTGGATAAACGCTCTAGTTGTGTGCGTCATACAGCTAGAACGGCCAGTGACACTTTTTTTTCGCTGGTTTTATTTTCGAACTAGTAGTTTTTTTTTCTTCTTCACGTTTGTCTAATTCTTATTAATTTTAATGTTTTATTATTCCATAACACTTAGTTTTTATATCATACGCGTAACCGATTTGTTCTTACCTATGTATCCTATTTATCATTATTGCATTATCCGTTTTGTTCGCCACTTTAATATATTCGAATAATGTTTTGTTTTATATATGTATATATCGTTGTGTCGTTTTTTTTAGCCGTACGTCGCGAAAGGTTTGGTTTGGTTTACGGATAGAGTTTATAGCCTTTGCTACAAGGTAATGAGAGTATAGAGGGCAAATTAAAAAGTTAATTATGTTATGGTGCCCGATTGTATATGTATCAAGTATAATAGTTTTATGTTAAGTATGAGAATGATTCGAGGGTAAACTATTATTTCGTCGTGTTGTTTTTTTGTTTATTGATAATGTCACCGTAAATCAAACCAAACGAACGTTTGTAGTGTATTATCGCGTTAGTTTATACCGTCGGCGTGTTGTTAATTTTCGTGACGCCCTTTTATATGGACAAAATACGATTTTATTTTTTTGAAAATACTTTAATTCTGTCTCGTCAATAGTTATTGGCTCGTGTTTTTGACCGCCCAATCCTGATTAAGGGGTCCGATATGGCAAATAGAGTAAATGAAATGAGGAAATTAATAAAGGAAATAAGTATGAACGGAGTATTAGAGATAGGGCGAACTTGATGTTAGGAATCAAGAATAGGTATATTTGTATGAACAAATATATAAATTGAGGGATCGTGTCGAAGCCTTCACCACCTTTTTTTAATGATTTATTTTCAATAGTATTTTTTTTTTTGTATATGAATATACCGTAGGCAACTCGGTCGTCGGTTGACGTAGCTTTAGTCCGAGCGGCCGGGACAAGCAGTAACGCTGTCTCATGAAACGTCCGGGCTCGTTTCATAAGAAATTAGATCGATACGACATGATTCATTTTGGTAGAGTAGAAGATTTTTTCGTCGTAGAAGTATATGATTGAGAAAAAAAAATCATTTACTTTTTTTTAAAATACAATAATAATATTAGTTTAGACTTAAGATTCCCCTCCCCCTCCCTTAGATAGGTTGTAGAATTAAGTTTTAGAATATGTTAGGATATTAGTCGTCATGTTGCAAGAAGTTATATCGGGATTTTTGTTTGTGGAGAGTAGGTTGTTGCAACATAAATAGTATAAATATAAGTCTGCAGACTGATATCGGGAGCCATATCGGATTTACGTTTTTTGTTTTATGCGAATATAAGAATATTATTGTTTAAAGCTGGGCCCAGTTGTCCACGAGCGAGGACCATTGAGGTGTCCGAATCGATGGACGCGTACGGTTTCAATCGGGGAAACCGCCCTTAATCAAACCCGCAGCCGTCGAATTATTATGAGAATTATATGTGATTTTGGGAATATTTAAGAAGGTACCTTCAGTGAGACTGGA